GAGTTGCATGGTCCTGACGTCCGACCAGCGCAACATCAACAACAACAACAACTACAGCAACAAACAGAAGAATATGCACACAAATATCCAATAGAGCCAGGAGAAGTAGGCAAAGAAATAGAAAAACTACAACGAGCAAGTCAAAAGAGGAGTGAGCGAAAGAAGCAGAAGCAGAAGCAGCCCACATCGGTGGCGGAGCAGTCGAGCGCAGCGAACGGAAATAATGTGCTGAATACACCGCCGGAAGCTGGGCTGGCCACAACGTACCAGCAACAGAAAATGCTAAGGCGTGGCAAAGAAGCGGAAGAGCGCGGGGATAGCACGATGGCGGTTGGTGTTAGTACCGTTGTGGCTAATAGTGCAGCTGGCGCTGTGCAACGCGGTGGTATGCGGCGGCGAGCTGGCAGCAAATCTAGCGAACCGGAAACTGTTATTTTAGCAGCGAGCTCCGTGAACGAAAAACAAATTCTCGAGAAGGTATTCAAACGGTAAGTACCGCCTTGTGGGTGGTCCACTGGCACTGCCACTTGTGGAAATACATGCATTTATATATATGTATATAGATATGAGCATTAGGGTGCATCACTTTCTATGCAAATGAAAAACCGGTACGGATTTCCATTGGAATTTTTAAATTTATTATATTTTAAGACTACCACAAAAATATATTTAGGAAAAATATTTATATTTACGTGAAAATATCCAAAAATCTGGTGTTCTTTTTTAATAAATTAGTTTTTAAAAATATTTGTGTCCAAAAATTCACCTTAAGTGATATAGATCTATATAAAAATGTTGAAAAATTGTATAAATAAAATAATAAAATATAAATATTTTTCCGAATTAATTTGGCGGAAATTTTAAAATATAATCTAAAACAGTTTCGCCCGAAAAAAATTCACCCCAAAAATTTTCATCCGCCCGTAGTAAATACATGGAAACGAAAAGTGAAAAGTGAACCGGTTCGGTTTTATAATTCCGGTAGAAATCCCACAATTGTTTTTTTGGTGAGTCACCCGAATGTACATTGATATGTAAGTAGACAAGCGAACAAAACAAGTAGCGAGTGGCGTTACCACACCAAATGCCAAGGGCATCTGTTGGACGGTGCTTTGTTTCAATTTCCGTTTTAATTTTTTTTTCGCTTTTTTCTTTCTTTCACACAAAAGAAAACGAGAGCAACGAATGGTGCAGAAGAAAAGATTAATGTTAATTAAATGGTATCATTAATATAGATAAAAGATACCAAATCCAGACAAATTGCTGTGGAAGAATTTTGTGGTCTTATCTTTGTAATCAATAAGGAATTTGTCCGTATATTTCGTAGCGAGTAGCATGGTGGCAAGAACGTACATAAATGCTTATTATTTTCTTCAAACGATTGCACGAGATTAGCAGTGAACAGAGATGAGTGAATAATGGCCAGAAGGTGGTTAGGATTTTTTTATTTCTTCTGTTCGTCTTTAAGCAATAATTTTCCTACAAATTAAATGATATATTTTTTATTTAAAACAATAAGAAATTTAATTAAAAAAAGAAAAAGAAAAAGTTATATAATAAGTATCTAAAACTTAAATGAGACTAACAAAAATGTTTCTTTTTTGAGCAATAAAGTGTAAATTAAACAAAATTAAAATTAAAAAGAAAAAACTTAAACAAAAGAGAAATCTAAACTAAGTTCCTTCACCTGAAAACATTTTTCTAATAACATAATCCGAAAATAAAAAAGATAATAATTAAAATAAGGAAAAAAAATTAATTAAGCAAAGAAAAAAAACGTATAAGTTTCTAAAAATTAAATAAAAAAAAAGAATATAAAAAAATAAAAAATTATATAATAAATATCAAAAACTTAAATGAGACTAAAAAACTTTTCTTTTTAGAACAATAGATAAAGTGTAAAAACTAAACCAAATAAAAATTAAAAAGAAAAAACCCTAAAAAGAGAAAAATATAAAATAAATTTCTAAACGTGAAAATATTTTTAATAACATAATCTGAAATTTAAAAAAAAGTAATAATAATAATTAAAATAAGAAAGAAATTTTATCAAGAAAAGTATAAAAAGTATAAGTTTCTAAAAATATAATCAATAAATAACAATAAAAATATAAAACAATAAAATCTAAAAATTAAATTAAAAAGGGGAAAAAATAAAAATATGAAAATACTTTTGTACCACTGCTGAAGATGTGATCTTTTCTATCAACGACGCAGAAATAAGTGAAATTATGTAGAGCATCGCGTTGCTGCTGCCGCAGATATGCAGACTTAGGTCTCAAGCAACTTGAGATTCTGGCAGGCAGGATCACAGCCCCTATGAGAGGGATTGTATAAGGTGGCGCCTTATTAGTGATCTCCAAAATTTCACAAATACTTCCCTTACAGCACTAAGTCTAATTATAAAGATCTATCGTAACGTCGATCTAACTTTTCCTAGCTCAGCATTCCACCAAACCGACTACAGAACTTGCAAAAAAATTGGAACAGAGGGATATAAACAATAGCTGGTATTGACATTATTAGAGGTCATTTCTGAAAAGTACTAGTACTTTTATTGGTGAACCTGGCATAAAAATCGGTCGGTACTGGCATGAATACTTGCCAGTATTTATTGAGAAATATGGTGGCCACTGCAGACCTTCCACGTTATCATAATTTGCTTCTTCGATAGAAAGGAAGAGAATAAAAGGGTGTTCGATCCCACCTGTCCGCCCCCTCTAAAGTAGAGGGAAATGATTTTTATCGAATAACGCAAAAATATGGCCTACCAAATCGGCGATGCTCTTTTGATGGTATTACCGATTTTCAGTTTCGAGCGGAAGTGGATGAAATTGACTAGAAGCCAACTTTTTTAATTAGACATAGACATGGTTTTACTAAAGATTCAGATTCTGAGGATAAAAATACGTAACTTTTATTTGAAACTTTTTTCGCGAAAGTGCCTTTTTCAACCTCTTCTTAAAAGGTCTAGGTTTTCTTATTGGCGAACGAAAAAAATGTCACCAAGTAGGGGATGCTCTATCTTTTGGAACTATTACTGATCTCAGGTTTCGACCGGAAATGGGTTAAACAGACCGGAAGTCCATTCTCTTAACCGGAAGTCCGTTCCAGAAAAAAGTTCCGGACCTAAGTCATGTATTTTTGTCCACAGAAGGACAAACGTCCTTTAAAAAAATTACGTCCAGTCTGTTTAACCACTTCCGGTCGAAAGCGGAGGTCAGTAATGCGACCAAAGGTACAGTATCCCCGACTTAGTAATTCATATTTTTTCGTTTTGCAATAAAAACATTTTCACTTATTTATGAAGTCCAGGACGAGTTGGAGTTCGAAGGCGCATGCGAGAAAAAATGTTCAATAAAAAGTAACGTATTGTTATCCTCAGAATCCGAAGCAGTGGTAAAAAAATTTATGTATAATTTCAAAAAATGAACTTCCGATCAGTTTAACCCGGAAGTCGGTAAGGTAGGTATTCATATTTTTGGGTAATTAAATAAAAACCATTACCCACTATTTTAGAGGGGGCGGATGAGTGGTCTACGATACCCTGCATAATATTTTTGGCTACAGTTCCTACTGAGCGTAACACTGAGGTATGATGTCTCTATTGTTACACGGCTTCTGTGGTATAAAACAAGAGCCAATCAATTATGAGTTTTGGTTAAAAAAAAACATAACTAAACAAATCGAAACCCCATTTTAATAATCATTGCATCGCAACCTTACACTCATTGCCCCGACTTCTAAGTACGTAGCCACCCAAAACACTCAGCCAACGCACCTAACTTTTTAATCCGTACTTCAAATATCGCATTGCATTGCAAAAAACTACGCTGCACTAGCAGCTGTGGCAAAAACGATATGCGCCACTTTTGTTCAGGCTAAAAATCAAATCGCTGAGTATGAGTTGCAATCGATGAACGCAAATTCCCACACACTACCACCCCTACCACTATTTTCAGTTTAGGTGTAAGTAAGTATTCCCGCTAGTTGCCGATTTTTTCCCCTTAACTATTACAGTTTGCGGTTACACACAACAATACGCAACCACACACCACACACCACACAAGCTCCCCAAGTGATTTTCTATTTTACACACACACACACACTGGCATTCACTACATAAAGAGCGGGGCGGTAGCAGCGGGGTGTGGGTAAAGTGCTGCGGCTGTGCACTGCGGGAGTGTGAGCACATAATTATTATGTCATTTTTGCACACACACACACACACACACAACCGGTGAGAATATTCCTGCAAATATAAGGTATTTAAGGCAGACGCTGCGCAAAAATATATTTGAAAGCTCTGTGAGTGTGTGAGTGTTTGCTGGCATTTTAATCTGCACTTTTTTGGCCTACAC